GGTCCTAATAAGGTAATACTATCGGGTCCTAGTGAGTCATGTGGACGCAGCGTGGATATCAGGACCTTAGTAAGGATTCATAGTCCTTATTGAGGTCCTTATTGAGTTACCTTATGGAATCCTTGTTACGTTTCTTTTTTTTCAAATTATGGCTCCTGATTACTCGCCACGGCTATATTGGATGATGACATTAGAAATAAGAAATGACACGCTGGGAATTCTTTCATGTCATTTCCGAATAAAAAGATATTTGCATGAAATAATATTTTAGATCGCTTGAGCATACTTGTAAAATATTTCGGAAAGGAAACATAAAATGAATGTCATAAGATCATAAAGTATCACAAGGCGACGAAACATAAAGTAGTGTTAAAGAGAAAAGTTGCGTGTCACGTTAATTTTACAACTATTTATCGATTGCTAAAAAAGGGCTAAGTTTCTATAGCATTATACAAATATATTCAAGCGATCCGAAGTGTTCCTTCAATGCAAACATCTTTATATTTGGAAATGACATCCAAAAATTGTTTCGTTAAAACTTGATGATGCAAATCATATTAGGTACAATGAATAAGATCCCGACAAGGACCTGATTAACTGAACCATATTATATCATACATTAAGGTCCTAATGTGGACCCAATTATAATAACCTTATAAAATTAAAAATCTTCCTTATTCATTTGTCGTTAGGACATTATAAGGACTGACTTACTTAAGATTACCTTTCTCATTCACCCTATTCTTAGCAATGTCACATGAACCTGATCAAAATTTCTAGTCGGGATGCTCGGGACGAGCAGTATTTATTTGAAAGCGCAAAGCGTAAAGACGCGCGTAAGGCGTGGCGCGGTCTAATCGGCGCGACACTTGAACTCGCGTTAAAATCCTGCCGATGGCCGATACAGGCGCGCGCGCGCGCGCGCGGCGAGGTCGCGAGGCCATTTGCAATCGCGGCCGCTTCGTAACTAGAAACTGCACGGGCGGGCGAGTTCGCTTTGCGAGGGAAAATTAGCCCTCGGAGACGGCGGAATCGGGCCCTCGCGGAGCGTCGCGCCGCGCCGCGCCGCGCCGCGCCGTGCGAGGTATCCCTTGGCATTATTTCAACAACGAATTCCTCCCGGCGAGTTTATAGCCGATATCTTCCCCTTCGGGGGAAATTCCGACGGGGAACGGGGATAACTTATCGCGCTATAACTGCCGCTGATATCGTCTCGCTAATTAGCCCCCGAATTATTCAAATGCCAGGAGCATTCCTCCGTGATTCTTTGTGATAACTCTTACAATCGGGCTTGATCCCTGACGAGAGACAATCGAAATCTTATCGCGAGTCCCCGCGGGGAATCTGAAATTCAATCTGGACTCGCGGAGCGGAATTACTTTCAGGAGCGCGCCTACGCATTTTTAAAGATACTCCCATAATCATTCCCAGAGTTCAAGCGCAAAGTTCAAAAGCGATTAAGCCGCCTGAGGCGATCGCCCGCTCTGCGCGAGTGAATGAAAATTACTCCCCCGAGATAAGGAGGAGGGTAACGTTTGACTTTGCGACTTCCAACGAGATTCTCGCGCGCTCCAAACGACCAGCGCGCGTTTTTTCCTCTGCCCGCAAGGAGCGAGCGCGCTGCCGCCGCGTCGCGCCTGGCCAAAGACCGTTAGACAGAACGGGAATATGTTGGCGCCTCGTCGGCTTGGCAGTGCTCCAACGTTCCCCGATGATCGTGTGCACGCGCGCTACCGACGCGGCTCGCCAAACCGGCAGCGATGTGTGCCTCCGGCACATCGGCAACGACTGCCAACGGCCATCGGCGTCGGCAGGATTTTCCTCCAGGACGCACGTGGAAATTCCACCAGAGTTTCTGCCCTCGCTCGATCAGAGAAAGCGGTACACAGTGGCCTCTCTCATCTCATTGTCTCATGATCACCGCGCTTTTGCGAAACAGCTGTTTCGCAAGGACTGTGAAAGTCAGCCAAAGCAACCACGAGGACGACTTTGAGGATTGCGGGATCCCGGATGCGGGCACAGTCGAAGCCGCGATTAAAGCCGCGAGAGCTCGTCAGGACTCGCGATCCTTCGAGTGTGTCCGAGACTCGGCTCGAGAAGCCGGAGTGAGATTCGCGAGAGCCGAAGGCAGAAAGCGCCGGGAACACGCGAAGGGAGGTGCACGGCGCCCATGGCGGCAGCAACGAGAGCAACGAGAGCAACGAGAGCAAGGAGAGCAAAGCGAGCGGCTAGACGTCTCGGGAGAACGTTGCGCGCAAGTGCACGCGTGCACGTGAGCGCGAGGAAGGTATATGCGGCGCGATGCAGCGAGAAAGAAGCCGTTGCATTTATAGTTCAGGGTCAGCACACTCGCGCGGCTCTCGCAACTTCCAGCGATTTCGGTCCCCCTCGTTCTCCGCCGCCTCCTCCTCCTCCTCCTCCTCCTCCTCCTCCTCCTCCTCCTCCTCCTCCTCCTCCTCTTCCACGCGCGCCACGTTTCTTCGCCCTCTTCTCTCCTTTTTTCTCCTTCTCACACTTAGCCGTCGACTTTCTCCTTTTCCCGGGGAGCGCGCCGATACGCGGTCAGGAGCGAAGATCTATAGCGGGTCGCGCGAGCGAGCGAGCGAGAGAGAGAGAGAGAGAGAGAAGGAGAGATCGCTCGTTAAAGTGAGAATCGATTTATCACCGTGGAGAGAATTCGAGGAGACGCAGTCGCCTTGGCGAACCGCTTTGTTTGTCGACGTTTCGCAAAGCACGAGGCACTTCTTCATTCGCGACCACGAAGGGTCGGTTGCAGCGTCGAGTTAAAGGGCCGCTTGACGCGCGAGTTCTACGGCGGATCGCAACAGCGGCAGACGGAACAGAGTCGCGGTAATTTTTAACGGCCCGGGTAATTTGGAAAGTTATTTAATCCTCCGTTCAAACAGCCCTCCTCCTCTCCAAGCGGATCCTCTCCCGGCGCCCGGCCCTTCGCGTCAAATGTTTGCCGAGGGAGGTTTAACGCCGAGCTGTTCGAGATTCGAGCGCGATATTCAAACGTGCGAGCGAGCGGCGCGCAGCGGCCGCATCGCAAAAAGATAATTCGTCTTGTTTGAGATCGAGTGTCTCTCGGAGAGCGAAGCCGGAAGATGAGACACATCTGAACCTGACCGCGCGCCGTCTGAAAGTTTCCGCCGCACGTAAACGACTTACAAGCCCACCTCCCACTTCCTCCCCCTCCCCCCGCCGCCGCCGCCGCCGCCGCCGCTGACGAAGCGGGGAAAAGTTTTAACGGTAAAAGTTTTCCGGTAGTTTAATTACTTGGAAACAATTCCACCTCGCGCACTCTTCCCTCCTCAGCCGGTGTAACACAAGTACGGCGCGACTTCCGTGCGCACGCACGCACGCACGCACGCACGCACGCACGCACGCACGCACGCACAAAGAGACGCACACGATCATCTTTCTCTTGGTCCCCTCGCCAGAAGGGAGAGGCTCCGCGGTCGATCGATTAATCCTTTCCCGTTGCGTGTCTCTCGCATTTCTTCATCGCGAATCCCCGCTGACGAGAACGCGCGGACGTGTCCGTTCGCGCGCGTCAGCATTCATTACAGCTGTCTTAAACTGTCGGCTGGCGAGGAGTCGGTTAATTGACGTCGCTCAAAGGTCGAAGGTAATATCGGACTTGATCAATCGCGCTCAGGCGTCGCGCCCGACTCGAGCGATTCCATCCCACGCGCGCGCCTTTCATAGAACGAGCACCCGATCAATTGTACTCTAACGGAATGCGGCAGAGGGGAGGGGGGGAAAGAAGTCGCAGGCGAGAGACAAGGGGCGAAATTCATATCGCCGACTTAGCAGCTGACAACTCGCGCGATAACACGCCGCGAATAATAAGCCGCGGCAAAACACGACTGCGAGTCTGACGAGTCTTCGCGTGCAATTGTTACTCGCGCTGATGATCCCGATAATTCACGGGCGGCCGACGACAACGCGCCGACTGATAAGTTATCCCGCGAATTCTCACGGCCATGTAATACCGGCGCGAAAGTGAAACAGAAACTCGAGTCAAAGTTCGGCCGCTCCGCCCCGCCCTCCTCACCCCCAGCCGAAGCAAGTTCGGTCGAGTCTTCCGCGTGTTGTAGCACCTTACGCGCGAGAGAAGTTGGCCAACGAGTCCCGTGAAAGATTACTTACAGCAGGGGTGACGCGCGCTGTTCTCTCGCTCTCTCTCTCTCTCTCTCTCGCTCTCTCGCCCGTTGCCCCGGAGGGGTGTCGGGGACGCGCCAATGGCTGCGAAACTTGTTCCCTAACTAAGTTCCATCGTCCCTAACGAAGTAAGTTTCCAGTCGTAAAACGGAAGTGGCCGCTCCCCGCGCTCCGCTCCGCTCGGGCGCCACGCCGCGCCGCGCCGCGCCGCGCCGCTCCGCTCCGCTCCGCGCGCAGCCTCTTAATCGCTCCGGGATCCTATCGCATCTCGCGCGTGAAACGCACGCGGGACGTAGCGCGTCGCGGAAATGAGGAAGGAAACGAGATAACGAATTGCGTCAATGTACCTCTCGGACCCGACCGCCGGAAATTGTCTCCGCGCTTCTTGCGGGCGCGTGCGAATTTCGCGCGCGTTTTACGTCCCTCGCATTCCACCACCGCCACCATCGCGACGGTGGCAGAAAAAGAGATAGAGGGGGGGAGAGAGAGAGAAAGAGAGAGAGAGAGAGAGCAAGCAGGTGCAAGTGTTCTCTCGGTGAATGACCGATTAAGGAATGCCGTTGGATTATTCAGTCCTTTCGCCGAACGGAGACGTTAGTTTCGTTTTGCCGAGCTCGACGACGTGCGACAGGGAAGGGGGACGAGGGGGAGCGGCGTGTTAAATTCGCCCGGTGCCCCGTTACTCGCGTGGAAAGTGTATCGCTCGCGGTCAGACACACGGGTGCAAAAAGCCCCGTCGCTCCGTGATTTGCGGGAAAAAGCCGCGGAATCGCCGTCATGTGCGACGTTTTATGCGCGCGTCCCGGCGATCGCAGGCACTTTGTGGTACTTACGGTGAACGGTTTCAGCTTCGAGTAATCGACGAAGTCCAGCTTGCGGTCCTGCATAAACTCGATCGGCATGGCGTCCTCGTGCAACTCGGCGCGTGCCACGAGAGGATAGAAAGTCTGGAAACAAAGGTTTCTCGATCGAAATAATCGCGCCAAGTGACATTCCGACAGCGCCCACGCGCGGCGCTTGTCAATTAGATTCCGACGGGGGAAAAAAAAAAGAGAAACAACCAAGGAAATGAAAAAAAAAGAAAAAGAAAAAACGAATGGGGGAAAAATAATCGTAGCCCGACGTCGCTTCATCCGAGCGGGATTAATTGTTATTCGGCGAAAAAACAAAAGTCGCTTACATCGACGCGGCGCGCGCGCGCGCGCGCGCGCGGTGTTTGCCGTTCCGCGGCAGCGGAGCTCTTGATTTTAGAATTTCGCCGGAAAAATCCGCACGGAAGAGGCAAAGTTTAATATTATATGAATGTAATTACTTTTGCGCCGTTGAATCTACGCAAAATAATTAAGCTCGCTCAATCGGAGTATTAAAATTTTAACGAGCAAAAAAGCGCCGGACCAGCGGGACGTTACGGTCCCCGCCGTTTTGTGCCGGTCGAATTGTGTCGATCGTAAAATTTATTCAACGGGAATGGAATCGGCTATTTCATTAATTAACCGCGGACTGATTAACATTCGAGCGGGTCGCGAGCATCGTCGTTTCGCCGCCCATAAAATATGAAAGATTTGCATGAAAAATTGTAACAACCGTGACAACCGACCGTGTGTATAATTTGAAGGAAATCGCACGCGACAAAAGTTGACGAATTTCACGCATATTACACGCGCGATTACGAGCGAGCGGGTCTTCTTCTCCTACTTTTCCTATACGCGTTCCCAACGCTCCCGGAATTATTCCACGCAGCGGCGAGCGAAACGTTCGCTCCAGCTGCTGCTCGTCACACATTCTCATATGCATGAGAACGAAAGGAGACAACAATCTCAAATAACACGGGTCAACATTTGTGCAAAAGACCTGCACGCCGTGTCTCCCCGACAATTATTCGATTCTCGAATCTGATGAAAATTCGAAGGCGAACAGAACAACACAGCGCACCGCCGTGCGTTAATAACGAGGCGCAAAACGAGCGCGAGTGATCGTCAAAGAATCGTCGGGGTGGCTGCAATTTGTTGCTACGATTTGTTTTTACTTACGAGAGCCGGCCAAGCGACGGTGTCGGCGACCGTCGTGGCGCTCCTGAGCGGTTTCCCGTTAATGCGATGCTGATGGTGGTTATTGTTCGCGTGATTGTGATGATCGATGGGGATGAGACTGCTGGCGTGTCTGGGGTCAGGTCGTTCGGCCCAGTAGAGACCTCGTTCGATGAGAAAGAAGGAGAACACGGCATCCCTGTGCGGCGACAGCCACTCCCTCCTTTGCCACTCCACGTCGTCGTATTCTACGAGGATCTGCAAGCACACGATGGAAACGCTCCTATGTATTGAAGTTGCGTGTGTCCTCGTCGATCGACAGGAGCTCGCGATCGCGCAGCTTCGAAACGCGTCTGCCGAGCCAAATCGTGCCAGGACGAAGGATCATCATCTTCGCGATCGAGGCGGCTCTCTTCGACGGGAGAGTCACAGCTCTCGATCGGCGCGCGATAATGCCGCGGATGGTTTCTCGCTCCGCGAACTCAACTGGCCTTTGCGACTTCATTTTCGTCTCGGCTGAGAGATTAAGTAAGCTCTCGTAAGACGGCTGTCTTTCGTCCAAAGTTATAGCGCGACTGACGTGTCTCTCTCTCTCTCTCTCACACACACACACACAAGCGAGCGAATCGTGCGATCGAACGTGCGATTTCGCCCGACACATACGTTTCATTCCGCAAAGCCGAATATTCCCCCCCTCCCCCCCGCTGATTAAACGGTGCGGCGTTGCGGGAACAATTCGCCGCGCGCCGCGCCGTTCTTTATCTGTTTGTTCGAGTCGCGCTAATGACGCGCGCAATAATGCATCTCTCGCGCGGTGCTAATTGGAGGTTTTCAAAACAGCGGGCGCCGTGCGCGCGAGATGAAATCCGCGCACAGGTTCTATTTATCCCGCGGAATCACGGGCGACGGTCGGGGGCGGGGGGGGGGGGGAGGGGGGGCGCGAGGAGAGTTAAGGATTAAACCGCCGCCGACAATGAGGGGTTATCGTGCGCGAACGATGCGAGGACGGGACCTTTTCAGCCGTCCACGTAACAGCTATCCGGTTAATTATCAGCGTCTGTTATCGCGATATCCACGCGCGCTAATGCGTTATCGATGGATTCTCGATGGATTCTCCGGAAAACGCCACGCGACCGATTAGTGCGCCGATGAGTCGTCGGCGGGTCGTGCGCTGTCCGTTTGCTCGAAATCGACCGAGTTGTGTGGGAAGGTGGAGGGTAAAAGGTTGCGAGGTGCTTTACGACGATAAAGGGAAGTGTGTTGCGCGCGAACACGATGGCGATGCTTTGCGAAACGCTCGCAAGTGGTCCACGAGATGTAAAGCGGCTACACTGTAGACGAACTAGGCATCGGAACATGTGCGTTAAAATTGAGTGTTAGTGTGTTATTTTGGACACATTAAGGCTGGCACGTTAAGGCACCAAGTGCGTCAAAATAATTGGTTTTCTGTGACAAAAGTGTGTGCTTAAATAACACAGCCATGTGTTACACACTACAGAAACGTGTTACTTTTCCTCGGCAATCCCGTGACACACGTAAGAGCGTGTTATTTAGACACACAGGGAAAGAAATATCCGATTGCTAATTTTGTTATCCGATCAAATATCCGATTAAATACACCGGGTATTTGATCGGATAACAAAATTAACAATCGGATATTTCGGATATTTTTCTCAGTGCACAGAATGATAATCGAAATATACGCTGAGAACGCACTTGGATGATATATTGGATAACACACTAATTTTGTTAACACACGTTTAAATGAACACATACATATGTGTGTATTAAAAAAGATAAGATATATAATAAAAGATATATATGAGAAAAACGCATATCGACAAAATCGGCGAATACTCGCCTTCGAAAAAGGTGTATTGTATCTATTGAACAAGTTAATGCAATAATAACTTGCTTTCATATTATTACAGAATTAAATTAAATCATTAATTATATGTTATTCATTATTACACGTTTAAACGTAATATGTTAAATAACACGTGACTTAAAAAAAAAAAAAAACGGAAAAAATGTATAAAAAAAGATTCATTCATTTACACGCTTGTGCATTTCAAAATAACACACTTGGATCTGCAATGTTGCTCAATTCACCTTCATAACACACTTGAGGTGTGTTATTTTGATACACTTTCATAACACACTGAAAGTGTGTTATTTTAATACATCTAACCGTTGACACATGTACAAACGATTTATTTATTTAACACATACGTAAATATGTTCTCTTAACATACATATATATGTTAATTTAATTTGCTGATTTTGCATGTCTAAAATGAAGACATACTTTAACACGCTTCCAGCGTGTTATTGCAACACACACTTCAGTTTACAGTGTAATTTTTCGATCTCGAGACGCGAGCCGCGCTCTGCACGTCCCAAGAAACACCCAAGAAAAATCCCTGTATGCGTTTTCTTGACTCTTCGAAAAATTCGACTAACCTCTCGGTGTACAAGCTTGTACACGCGCGACGAAAAGGAGAATGAGCGAGAAAGGTAGAGAGAGAGAGAGAGCGAGAGAGAGAGAGAGAGAGAGAGAGAGAGAGAGAGAGAGAGAGAGAGAGAGAGAGAGAGAGAGAGAGAGAGAGAGAGCGAGCGAGCGAGCGAGCGAGCGAGCGAGAGAGAGAGAGAGAGACGGGCTGCGCACGAGAATAGCGCAATTAATATGTATTATTCATAACCTCCAAGCTGTAGCAGAAAGCGCAGTGTCGGCTGTGTCGGGGGATAACGAAGGGACCGGAAGCGGGATGTAGCAGGATCCGCACACGCTCGGTTTACTCACGGGCTTTGTCAGCGCGGGCGCGACAGATTCGACGTTGAGAGCGCGGCGGATCGAATGACGGCGGATGGTCATTCCGTGTTCAGCGATGTCTCTGTTCCTGCGCGGAAGCGCGTCTCTCCGAATTTCGAGGAAATCCCCCGGCACGGATGACACAGCGTCGCTCGTCTCGAAGCTTCGGATTTCTTCGGACATTCCCGGCGTTAAGCCGCGCGCGCGCGCGCGCGCGCGCGCCGGGCAAAATTTCAAATCGGGATTTCGTTCGAGAGCCGAGAGAGCTCCGCGAGTTTGGAATTCGCGAATACAGGCTTTTATTTCGGTCCGTCTGATAATGAACAGAAGCGACGCGCGCCGCGCGCGCGATATTTCCACTCACCAGCCGAGTCGACCCGAGAGAAAATCCTCACTATTGACTGTGGTTTCGCACTTTTCCGGACGTTGCTCTGTTCCACAGGTTGACGTCTCGCGCCGTCTGCGCGGGTCTCCGGGTCGTCACGATCGCGAGGAGAGCGCGCGCGTGACTCGATACGGTCACGGCGCGTCAGCCGATTAATTGATAAATCAGCATTTACGAGCGGAGCGCGAGCTCGCAGAAGTCGTCGCGCCGTGACTGCGGGATAACCCTATTAGAGTGTCTGGCCGATACGCCGCGTGATTTGTGGCGCGTTGTAATTATTCGCGCGTAGATCGTGCAATCAAACATTTCAATCCCATTGTCTCGGGCACGAGTCCGAGAGCTCTCGGTTCGGCTGAGCCTCGAACGAGAGCAAAAAGAGCGAAAGACCAGGAGAACACGAGGCGGAGCGTCGGAGCGAAAAATCGTTCGGCCGCGCCGCGCCGGGAAAGGAGGCGAAAGGAGAGGCGCGCGCGCGCGTTGAAAGGAAAATCGTCGCGAAAAATATGCCGCGAGCGCGGCCGATTTGTTCACTCAGCGGGGCGCGATTTGCCGATTCGACACCGACACGTATCAACATTGCATCAGTCTCTGCGAGCGGCTCTCGTCGCGCTCGAAGGACACAGCGCGCGCGGCAAACAAATTCGCGCGGCCGCGGCCTGCAAAATTGATTCGCCTCGTTCGGCAACGGCGAATTAATGGCACTTGGGGTATTTCTCCGCGCCGCGCCGCGCCGCGCCGCATCGACGCCGGCGCATCGATAATAATTCGCAGCCGGTCATTATTAATCGAACGCGCAAGGAACGCGAGATGAGGTGCACGAGCGCGAGCGCGAGCGCGAGCGCGATTTCCGGGAACGCTGGCGGAGCGTGACGGCGCATAATTGCGAAACGTTAATCGGTTAATTAATAAGTAAATACCTACGGGCGCAACGGCCGTTAATAATTGCCGAGGGACCCGAGCCGCGCCGCGTAAACGATATACGGATGATTAATAATAACGCAATCTCGCGTGCGCGTCTGCGTTTTAATAGCGCGACGCGGCGCGGCGCGGCGCGGCGCGGCGCCGCCGCTGTCTGGCACGCAATTCGGCGGGGCATTCGAGATCGGCGGGGCTATGTCAGGAATTGTAATCCGTTTTCCGGAATCTCTCTTCCGTATTTCCGTGCCCCCCCCCCCCCGTCGGCCCCCTCGGCTTACCGGCGCGACAAAGATGCCGCGAGCGCGCGCGACAGTCCTGTCTGCTTCTGTCTTGTCCTGCGCCTTTCTGGCCTGTCGTAGTACCTGCTCGCGTCGCTGTGCGCTTACGCGTATTGCGAAAGTGTTTCGTGCACAGATTTATACGCCTGTGTGCTTTTATGCGGATGCATAGTCGGCTGAAAAATCGGCCCATCACCTGACGACACGACACTGACTCTCAATGGCTGCGTTCAGCGGAGAAATGTGTTTGCCTTGCAACAGTTCGCGTTGGGAAACTCGTGAGTCTGATTGGCGCGTACGCTCTCTGTGAATCTCGGCTAAAGCCGAGAGCATACACCAGTCAGATGTACGAATTTTACTACAGTCGCAAAGCAGCTTTCTTTTACTGACGCTGCGAAATTGGCGACGTTGTTTGAGTGATCCATCAGCGACTACTGTCCAGAGGACACCATCGACGGGATTCGCATTTGGGAAATGGTATCCGGGGTGGGGTCTGTTGTGGGGTGTACTGTTCTCCGAAAGGTTCCCAATCGGAGTTACCTGCTTTTACGTCAGTTGTCCTATTATCGGTATCCGAAACAACCAAAGGACCAATCCGCGGCACCTCGAGCGAGCAGACGAAAAGTTGATTCCAATTGGACGAACTCCACATTGGACGAAAGTCCTATATCATGATCGGTTGAATGGGTGCTCTCGTTTGTCGTCGATCGTGAAGACGATCGATCGATTTCGAAAAAATTCCCGAAAGGACAAGCTCGCAATCGGAAATTCACTACTCGACAATTCGAGGTTCCAATCGGAATCCAAGTCCTACCCCCCGAGGGTCCTATAATTGTGCTTCTCGGGATACAAAACTAAAACGTCC